CCCCCCCCCCCCGCGCGCGCGCTCTGACCCCCGCCGCAGCATGAGCTACAGGCTGATGTCCCGGCGGAAGTCCACGGTCGCGGCCGTACCGAAGCCGACTTCCCCCTCGCCCGGGTCCCCAGCCCCCCCGGGCGGGTCCATCCCCTCGGCCCTCCAAGCACCGGACCATGTGCTCATGCGGCCGAAGGAGCGCACCGTCGAGGGCCTCAATGAGTACCTGGCCGAGGCCCGGGAGAGCCTCGCCGTGCTGAGCCGCTCGCGCAAGGCCACCAAGAAGGTGTGATCGCGCTCTCCCCCCGCCCCGTCGCCCCCTGTCGCCTGGCCCAGCACTCACCATGCTCTCTCCCTCTCCCTCTCTCCCCTTGCCTCCCTGTCCCCCCCGCCCGCCCGCCCGCCCGGCAGGATCTCGAGGAGGCGGCCCACCGCGTCAAAGTCCTCGAACTGAAGCTGGCCCGGCTCCAGCGTCAGACAGCCTCCAGCAACCTGCCCCCCCTGCCGCCGCCGACGGCCACCGCGGCCCCGGGATCTGCCTCGCTGCCGCCCCTCAGCGAGTTGGAGGCGGCGCACCACCGCCGCGGCAGCTCGGCCGATCTGGCCAGCGGCTCGGCCGCCGACCGTCGACTCAGTGTTTCCAGCTTCGAGAGCGCCTCCTCCTCGGCCAGCCTCGACAGCCAGGCCTTTTCGCTGGACGCGCCGTCCCCCTCCTCGCGCGGGCTCTCCAGCCTCCGCCGGTCCCTCTCGCAGTCCTCGATGTCCGGTCTGGAGGCCGGCTCGGCCGAGGCCGCCCTGGCCGGCACGGCCGAGTGGCTCCCGGCCGAGGTGACCGGCGCCGACTTCACCTCGCTCGTGGCCCTGCTGGCCCAGCCGCACCCCGCCCTCATGGACGCCCTCGATGGGTGGGCCCGGTCGCTGGCCGCCACCGCCACCGCCACCCCGCCCGATGACGAGGCCCCGAGCGCCACCGACGCCGGGCCGGCCGCGGCCGCCCTGCGCGAGTTCTCCCACTGGCTGGGCAACTTCGGCCTGCACATCCGGTCGGCCAGCCCGGCCGATGCGCTCCTGGAGCAGGATGCCCAGGCCGTCACCCAGCCGGCCCTCGATGCGGACCTCCTCTTCTCGGTCGGGTATCTGGTCCAGTCGTCGGGCTTCGTGGCCGTGCCCGGGATGGGCGGCCTCCCGGTCGGCGACGCGGCCGGCGACCTGGCCGATGCCCCGGCGGCCGACCCCACCGCGCCCTGGGCCGCCATCGTCCAGGCAGCCCTGGATGCCGGTGCCGCGGCCGTCCCCCCGCCGGGGGTCGATCCGCTGGATGCCGCCGGGCTCGCCCGCTTCCAGACCTTCCTGGCCGATGTCGTCCAGCCGGCCGACTCGCCCGGCCCCGCTGACAGCGACTCGGCCGAGGCCGATGCCGCTGCTGCTGCTGCTGCTGCTGCTGCTGCCGATGCCGATGCCGATGGCGCTGCCGAGCCGCCCGCCCGCCTGGTGCAGCCGCCCTCGGTGGCCGAGTTGGCCTCGCATCTGTGGTTCTTTATCCACCAATCGCGCGCGGCCCTGCCGCATCCCGGCTCGGCCGATGTCCCCGGCGCCGAGCGCCTCGTGGACCTGGACGGCCTGGCCGGGCTGCTGGCCGCCTGGTGCACGGAGATCGCCCACCAGCGCCTGTGCGTCGAGCGGTCGCTGCACTCCCTGCGGGAGACCTTCGCCGAGGCCCTGCCGGACGAGGCGGCCGACGCGCCGGCCTTCGACCTGCTCCGGGCCTTTGTGGCCGCCCAGACGGCCGCCCTGGCTGAGGCCCCGCGCTCCGACGAGGATGACCACACCCCGGCCCCGGCCCAGAGTGCGGTGCGCCCTCTCCTCCTCCTCCTCCCCCTCCTCCTCCTCCTCTCTCTCTCTCCCTCTCATTCCCTCCCTGACCCTCCCTCTGCTTCCTCCTCCCCTTCCGACAGCTCGTTCGCATGCTGTCCTCCCTGACGGAGGAGATCTGCCTGCTCCTGAAGCTGGCCCTGCGCGTGTCGCGCCTGGCGCTGCTCTTCACCCACCGGGCGCAGAATGCCCTCGACGAGCCGGATGAGCCGCATCTGCTCCGGTCCATCTCGCACACCCTGGCCGATGTGTATGCCCAGCGCCGGCGCTTTGTCATGGTACGCGCGCACGCATCCCCCGGGGGGCCGCGCCATGCACTGCAGGAGACATGCCAAAGACACTCACCCACAACACACACACAACACACAACACACACAACACACGCCC